GATCCGCACAGACCCGTTTCGGTACTGGAACACACGGGAAAACCCACTTGAGGGACAAGATTGTTTCGACCATGTCCAGGCACACCTACTCCAAGATGACCAGACGGGGAGCAGGGGAGGAAAGAAGCCCGCCATGCCAGCTCCGAGTCTCCTAGAGGAGGAGGAGCCACCCAGCGCAGCCACAGACCGGAAGACACGACCTGAAACGCCCACAAATTTTGGACCAAGTGTGGGTAAACAGAGCCAGCCTCAACCCTATCGCCCTGTCAATAGGGCGACCTCTGGCACCCCCCTCCAAGAAGCCGACCAGCGAGCAGAGCAAGCACAGCGCCGACCAGACGAAGATGGCCCCAGAGGAGGCACCAGCATAGAAATTGGCACAAAGGCCTCCCTTGACTAGCAGAAGCTGGAGCCTCGGGACGACCACCAAAACCTGTGCCAAGCCCCAAGAAAAGAAAAACTGCATGCAAGCCAGGAAGACACAGGAACCTCAGAATGCACCCAAGATGGAGACGAAGACCCGAATACAAAAGAGGCCAGACCAAGAGGGGGCAAATTCCAGGTTGCACTAGAGGAAACCACCAAGGGCCATCCAAACCTCCACAGGGCAAACCTGAGAGGAAGAAAACCTCTGCAAAGAAACTGAAGAACCCACAGGAACCCGGGGAGCCATAACCACCAGATTTGTCGGCGGAAAACACACCACGGAAAGGAAGGGCCAGACACATGTCCCTGATAGAACCCTTAGCGAAAACGGCCAGAAAATGGACCAAAGGCATGGGAGCTAGCAGAGCATACAGGGCACAGACACTAGGCTCAAAACCATGGCCCAGAACCCAAACACAGACAGAAAACACAAGACCGGGCAAAAAGACCAACACCCAAACATTCCCAGAGGAACAGAGAGGGCAGGAAGCCCCGAAAGAAAAAACAAAACAGAGACACTTCAATGGGAGGATAACAAAAACCTCCAGACGGAGGTGAAAAAACCACCGTTGAGCGTAATGAAATGCCATTTTCTGGGTGAGACCCATAGACTCCCCGGAGATATCTGGGCTGATATGAATGTATTAAACCCTGGCATCAGTCAAAGCGAATGGAGTTCTAGGCCTACCATGGACCACTAGCCAGAAGCTGCCCCCCCCCCATCAGAGAGGTACGAGGAGCAATGGCCTATAGAAACCCCCGTGTGGTTGGAAACATTCTATGTCTGCCATTGACTGGGTCAGGCACCCAGAAAGGTACGCACCCTCAAAAAACCCTATCTGGTTGCAGGCGATGAGTCACAATAACGTGGCTGAAGTATGTTGACCAGACCACACACTAGAAGGTGAAGGGACGACGATGTTTCAGTTCGTCCTGGACCACACTCCTGGACCAGTCGCTTGAGAATGGTCCAGGCCGGACCGAAACACTGTCGTCCCTTCACCTTCTAGTGTGTGATCTGGTCAACCTATCTGGTTAAAATATTGCTACTGAAATCCGAATGGACAGAACTCCCCCAAATGAAAAACGAGCATGATGCCACAACCGTCACCGCGCCGCTCTCTGCGCAGCTTTCCCCCTCCCTGGGAGGGGGGTAGAGAGAGCCCCAGACCCCCATGCCAGTTAGCCACACCTTCAGTTCTAAGGCTGGATGTCAAAACCCGTAAAAAATGCCAACTGGAGGGAGAGAGGGTTACCGGGGAGCCTCCGGATTTCACCCAGAAAATGACGTTTCATTACATTCAACCCTGAATTTCTGGGGGAGTCCTTTTGGCTCCCCGGAGCTACTACAAAGATAAAAACAAGAAGGAATTATCATAGAGGCGGTCGTCACTCGCTCGTCAACTCGAAGTCGAGACAACTGGCTGCAACCTCCGACCCAATGCGACACATGCCCGACTAGGGCCAGGAACACTGACTATGTAGCGAGCAGCCAGGACCCTGTTCGATCTTCAAAAACCCCATGCCCGAATGTCAGCCCAAGACATGTTATCAAAGACGGCAGCCAATGCAGCAAACTTACGAACGTTATAGGGACTAGGATAGACCGCAGGCTGGCTGGACTAAATAATCCAGCAGACGACCTGGGAGACCCGAACCGTGGAACCAACCCGTCCTCTTAAAAATAACGTCACTTTTGGCTCGTATGCGCGATATGGCTAAATTTGGACGTAATTTGAAATGAAATCGACTCACAAAAGTGACGTTCTGTTCCGTTTTCTATTTGAGTCGTCCGGCCTACGCACAGAGGTTATAAGAGGACACTTTAAGTTCACGTTTTTCATATCGTTTTGAAACTTTATGAGAATTTCCTGCCCACCTAACCTATCAGAGGACCCTTAATTTACTGTTGTTGAAAAAAAATCCCAAATTTATTTTCATTTTTTTTTTCATTTTCAAATTACGTCCAAATTCGGCCATACGGGCAAACGGCCAAATGCGACGTTCTTTTTAAGAGGACAGGTTGGTGGAACAGTGAAGAAGGGAAAAAGGGTCAATCCAAAGCACGTTCCCGGCCACTGAGGGCGTGGCGCGAAAGTAACGGCGAAGAGCCGCAATCGGACACAGCACATGATGCATTCTCGGCCAATCCAACCAAGCATCAACAACCCAAGGACCCCTCTGGAAAGCAGCAGTCTCATTCTTCACTGGAAAAGAAGGAGACGGCTGCAAGCAAACAAACCTATCACCAGGACCAAAAGAGCAGAAACCTCTGCACCGGAGGAGAGAATGAAGCTCCCCAACCCACTACCTAGAGGCCAACGCCAACAGGAAAAAAGAGCCTTCGCAAAACAATCCTGAACCGAAGGGGGCCACAACAAACTGAGGAAAGAGAGAAAGGAGAGGACCTGGTCCAACAACCAGGATGGCTCCTGCGACACATGAGCAGGCCAGAGGTGAAACAATGCACGAGACAGCTTGCGGAACAGAGCAGAAATAACATCCACTCCGAACGCAAACTGAAGCGGTTCTGCCAGTACCGCAAGATATGAGGCGACAGTATTCAGCATAAGATGACGGTCCTGAAACAATCACAAAAGGAAGGACAAGAAACCCGATCCGAAACAGAAGAAAACTTATAGAGGGACAAGAAATAACATTTCGACCACCAGGAAACCTCATACTGCCACTGAACCGAAACATGCAGGTGAGACACCATCAACGAAGCCACCTGCTCTCCATACAAGTTGTGATAGACCCGCATCAGAAAGAACAGACGCGAAGACTTGAGGAGAAGATCAAACCAGCTATTTAATGGGCTGGCCCGATCTGCTGAAAGAGGCGGAGCCACGGGAAGATTCTCGGATTCAAACATCGAGCAAGCATCACCTGAAACCAAGGCTGGGCCGGCCACCTAGGAGCCAACTGGATTACTCTCCCCTGCTAAGTCTCCAAGCGAGCTAGGACCTGGAGCAAAAGTGGGGATGGGGGGGGGGGGAAGATACAGGTAACACCACCTCGACCAGTCCTACCTGAAGGCGTCGATCCTGATGGCCTCACAGTTGGGAAGGGTGCCACATATAACAGGAGATGCAAAAAGATCCACCTCTGGGAGCCCGTACATCTGGCAGAGCCAACTGAAAGAGTTGGCATCGACCGTCCATTCCGTGGACAGGGAAATGAACCGAGACAGGCCGCCAGCCAGGACGTTGGACGCCCCTCCCAATGTAAATGCCCAGGAGATTGTTGTAAATGATTGTTGGGAAAAATGCCAACAATCATTTACCCCCGTTCCCTCAGAGTATCTAATTTTCTTGAAGTACTTGCTTGTTGTGTTATGCTCATGCTTTATGTTGACAAGTTATCCCTCACATAACCTGGTGCATCTCGTGAAAGCATGGCTGGACCTGTGTGTAGTTTGGGAAGCTACTGTCCTAGAAATGGGAGTGTGGAAGGTGAAATAAGAGAGAGCAATAGGTGGAGAAGAGTCACAGGAGAGGTGAAGGGTACAACGAAAGAAAGTAATATTATTTAGGGAGCTAAGGAAGAACTGAGATAGTGTATTACTCTCATCTCTAACATATGGCTGTGAAACTTGGGTATGTAAAGGAGCAGAGTGCACAAGAACAACAAATAGTGGATTTTTTTTGTTAGTAAAGCAGCTGATATACTGTATGTGGGATGGGTAAACAACGAGGAATCACATGAGAGATGCTGTACGAGTGAAAGAAGTAAGGAAATGAAAAGTGAGGTTATGGAGTGGGTGAAGCACAATAAATATGAGTTACTAATATGCTTGAGCATTGTTTAACAAGAATGATGGTACAATGGTCAAATAAAGGATTCAAACCAGTAGCTAGAGAGGGAAGCATGAAACATGTTGTGAGGTGGTAGAGCCTCCTGGAGCAACTCTTACTGCGGCCACACCTGATGGCAAGCTCCCGGGAGAGAGCGAGGCATCGGGGGGACGTACACCTTCCCCCCCCTCTCCATACACTATACACTATTACATGTATTTCCACCATGCTTAATGACTTTTGTTTCCCATCCACCAACTTCACTAAGGGCATCCTCTTGGAAACAAATTCACCTTGTTAATTTAGCACAAGACATTAACTAATAATTAACTAACATTAACACAATCTGCGAGGTCCTCTCACAACAACAACCTCAAATGTGCATACAAAAAGAGTTGCTTAACTCCCGGGTACATATTTTACTGCTAGTTGAAGAGAGGCATCAGATGAAATGAAATATGCCGAACTGTTTTTGTTCTATCCCGAGAATTTAACCTGGGTCCCTAATTTGTGAGCTTAGGAAGTAGTCCACTGTGCTACAGGACCCCCTTAATGTATACTAATTTGTCTAATCGCTGTTTAATGTTTTAATTAATATACAGTATATGTAACTATTGTACACAAAATCCTCTCTCTCATTAAACAATACTCAAAGATCCTCTTTGTTTTACTCGTAATATTGAGAGAGTTATAAATGACTTGAAGTTGCAGTATAAAGAACTAAATCTCACTTTCCAACAGTCACTGATAGGTAAGCTTTTCCTTACATGACCTTACCCCTTAAGACTGACTTGGTGAGCTCCTTGGTAGCATCTCGGGAAGCTTGTGTCAGTATTCCACGCTGCAGTGCCATAACCATGGCAGTGAGAGCCGAGAGTGCTGCTTCCTCAACCTCGCCATTCACTCCCTCAACAATCTCGTGTCTTATGCTAGCCCACAGTGCTAATACATGCGGACAAATATCTTCAGCTGAGTAAACTTCACAGCAACTCACCTAAAAAGAAGAATATTTGTATTTAATACACAGTCCAGTAAAACTGACAGAATATGCAAGAAAAAGATTTGCAAGACAGATCACAAACTGATCTCACTTGCAGAGAATAAGTCACAATAATGCAGTAGCAACAAATTACCCAACCCCCACACATGAAATCAAATGAAAGTGTCGAGGTTTCGGTCTGTCCTGGACCTTCATCAAGTCTGACCTCACACTTCGAAGCACTATTCTAGGGTATGTAAAACCCAGCATTGAATGTAATAAAGCGCCAATTTCTAGAGAAGCCCGGGTGGCTCCATGAAGCTATCTTCCCAAGATTGCTTCATACTAAACTAGGACACACCAGCCATGGACAGTTCTGTTAGACTTACCAGGAATCATCACAAGAACCTGGTCCCCTCACACAGGCACAGAGAGCAGGTGATAATATGTCACCTCACTAGAGGAAGCCACTAGAAAATCATTGCAGCTTTACATACAATTGAAAAGTTCACAGAAAACCAACCCTCAAAACAACCAGCGATGAAAGTAATGAAACACCAATTTCTGTGCGAGCCCCAGTGGCTCCCTGAAGCTATCATCTCTGACGTAGGTGCTATCTGCTAGATGCCATCAGTCGCAGAGTTCTCTGGCCTAACAGGCGACCCAGAGTCAGAACCTGGTCCCCTCACAGAGGCAAAGGGACCTGTAGCAGTTACATATAAATTTATTTATTTATGCCACCAGTGAGGAAGGCATCCAGAAAGTCATTGAGTTAACAAACCACAGCTGGCTGTCTCCAAGACCTGCAGACTCGAAAACTGCTACAAAACTCTCCAATGTATGCAAACAAAAGATAAAAACCAGCGTTGAATGTAATGAGACACCATTTTCTGGGTGATTCTCGGAGGCTTCCCGGAGCCATCCAGGCTGATATGGATATGTATAACTTTCTGGCATCAGTCAATGTGCATGGAGTTCTTGCCTACCGGGGACCACGGCCAGAATCTGGCCCTCTCAGAGAGGCACGAGGAGTAATGGCCTATAGAAATCCCCGTGTGGTTGGGAGCATTCTATGTCTGCCATCGAATGGGTCTGGCATCCAGAAAGGTAGGTGCCCCAAAACAAACCCCCGTATTCTGGTGAAAAATTGCTACCTAAAGCTGAACGAGTGGACAGAACTCCCCAAACGAAAATGTGCAAACAAGCATGACGTCATCACGACGCTGCGCCACTGTCTGCACAACCCCTTCCCCTCCCCGAGAAGGGGAAAGGGGAACCCCAGACCTTCGCTCTGGCGATCCACTTACCAGTTCTTAGACTGGATGTCAAAACTTGCGAAAAACACCGCCAAATGGAGGGAGGGAGTAAGGGATGCCGGGGAGCCTCTGGGACTCACCCAAAAAATGGGGTTTCATTATATTCAAAGCTGGTTTTCTGGGGGGGAGCCCCGTCATCTTCCCGAAGCTGCCTCACCAAAGATAAGGAAAAGAAGGAAGGACATGGGAGGAATGATGCCATGTGCCCAAAGACAAAACAAAACAACTGGCAAAAACGAAGCACCCTGCAAACGACCTGGGAAACCTGAACCTTGTGACATGAAGGAGGGAAGGGAACCTGGCCAACGCAAAGCACGGCACGGCCAGAGAGGCCAAGATGGGAAGACAATGTCGGAGAGTTGCAACCAAACAACACATGATGCACCCCGGCCTGACCAACCAAGCATCAACAGACCAAGGACCCCTCCGGAAAGCAGCAGACGCATTCTTCGCCAGAAAAGGAGACTGCTGCAACCGAACAAACCAGGACTGAAAGCGCAGAAACCCCTGCGCCAGAGAAGAGCATGAAGCTCCTCGACCCAACCCACAGAGGCCAATGCCAACAGGAAAAAAGAGCTGTAGAAAAACAATCCAGAACCGAAAGGGCCACAACAAACCCAGGAGAAAAGAAAAAAAGAGAACACCCGGTCCAAAGATCAGGACAGCTCAGGAGGCCCATGAGCAGGCCGGAGGTTATACAACACACGAGACAGCTTTGCGGAATGGGGCAGAAGTAACATCATACCAAATGCAAGCTGGAGCGGTTCTAACAGCGCTGCACGATACAAGGTGACAATATTCAGCAAAGATGACGGTCCTGGAACAACCATGAAAGAAAGGACAAGACAACCCTATCAGAGACCGAAGTACACCTACAGTGATAGGAAAAATTGGAAGGACCACCAGGAAAATTTCATATTGCCACTGAGACGAAGCACGCAGGTGGGAGACCAATAACAAAGCCATCTGCGCCCCATACAAGTGATGATGGACGCGACTCACAAACTCCAGAAATGAAGACTCGAGCAGAAGAACGAACGAGCCTTGTACTGGGCTGGACTGATCTGCTGAAGGAGGCGGAGCTGAGGGAAGACCCCCGGGTTCGGTCACTGAGCAAGAAGTGCCTGAAACCAAGACTGGGCTAGCCACCAACGAGCCAGAAGGACAACTCTCCCCTGGTAAGTCTCCAAACGAGCCAGAGCCTGGAGCAACAGCTGAACCAGGGGAAGAGGTACAAGGAACCCCACCTTGCCCAGTCCAACCTGAAGGCGTTGACCTCGACGGCATAGCCATCAGGGAAGGGTGCCACATATGCCAGGAGATGCCTCGACCACACTGAAGCGAAGAGATCCAAAGAGCCAACCGAACAAGTTGGCGTGCACAGGGGAATGAACCGGGACAGGCCGTCTGCCAGGACATTGGACGCTCCTCGAGCATGAACCGACAGGAGAGCCAAATCCTGAAAACTGAGCCAACGAGTCACCCGAAGCGACCAAGGACCACATGGAACCCCCTCAGTTCAGGCAATGAACTACCGGGAAACAGTTCGAACTGAGCCGGATTATCGATCCGCGAGCAACCCGAATCTTCCGGAGTGACACCCACACAGCTACGTACTCCCGCACCGCGCTGTGAGCCCGACAGAAGGACGGACCCCACTGTCCCTGGCCGGCCTGGCGAGCACTGGTCACAAAGTCCCAGCCAAGAGATAACGCGTCCGTGAACACTTCGAGCGAGGGCTCGAGTAGGGGCCAAGGCACTGAATCCTGTGACCCAAAGAGGAAGCCAGTGACACAGCAACCAATGCAAAGCCCACGGAGACCGTACCCAGCGATTGCGAGAGGCGGAAGGGACGTCCCCGAAGGAACCAGAACAGCCGACGAAGCCACACCCGACCTTGCCAGGTATACCATCATGGCAAAGTTCAGGCTCCCGCACAAACCCTCGAGCAATCGCTGCATAATCCGGGAGCTCCTTAGGAACTGACAAAGGTAGGAACGCACGCGAAGCAGAGCCGCTGGAGGAAGAGACAAGGAAGTGGTCTGGGCGTTCCACACGAGACCCAGCCAAGACCGAACCTGAGGGGAAACCAGATGGGACTTCCACCAGTTCACCAGGAACCCGAACCTGGTGAGCTGGGAAAAGAGCTAAATCCCTGGCGAGCAGACACGCAAACTGGTTGATACCTGGTTGATGGGATTCTGGGAGTTCTTCTACTCCCCAAGCCCGGCCCAAGGCCAGGCTCGACTTGTGAGAGTCTGGTCGACCAGGCTGTTGCTTGGAGCGGCCCGCAGGGCCACATACCCACCACAGCCCAGCTGATTCTGGAATTTCTCTTAGAAAACCATCCAGTTTTCTCTTGAAGATGTCCACGGTTGTTCCGGCAATATTTCTTATAGTCGCTGGGAGGCCGTTGAACAACCGCGGACCTCTGATGTTTATACAGTGTTCTCTGATTGTGCCTATGGCATCTCTGCTCTTCACTGGTTCAATTTTGCATTTTCTTCCATATCGTTCACTCCAATATGTTGTTATTTTACTGTGTAGATTTGGGACTCGACCCTCCAGTATTTTCCATGTGTATATTATTTGGTATCTCTCTCGCCTCCTTTCTAGAGAGTACATTTGGAGAGCTTTCAGACAATCCCGATAATTTAGGTGTTTTATCTCATCTATGCGTGCCGTATATGTTCTCTGTATTCCCTCTATTTCAGCAATCTCTCCTGCTCTGAAGGGGGGAAATGAGTACTGAGCAGTACTCGAGACGGGACAACACAAGTAACTTGAAGAGTACAACCATTGTGATGGGATCCCTGGATTTGAAAGTTCTCGTAATCCATCCGATCATTTTTCTGGCTGACGCGATATTTGCTTGGTTATGGTCCCTAAACGTTAGATCGTCGGACATCATTATTCCCAAATCCTTGACATGCTGTTTTTCTACTATGGGAAGATTCGATTGTGTTTTGTACCCTGTATTATGTTTCAGATCCTCATTTTTGCCGTACCTGAGTACCTGAAATTTATCACTGTTAAACATCATGATATTTTCTGCTGCCCAATCGAAAACTTTGTTGACATCTGCTTGTAGTTTTTCAAGGTCTTCAGCAGAGGTAATTTTCATGCTGATTTTTGTGTCATCTGCAAAGGACGACACGAAGCTGTGACGTGTATTTTTGTCTATATCAGATATGAGAATAAGGAACAGTAGCGGTGCAAGGACTGTACCTTGAGGTACAGAGCTTTTAACATCGCTTGGACTCGATTTTATCTGATTGACTGTTACTCTTTGTGTTCTGTTTGACAGGAAATTGAGTATCCAGCGTCCTACTTTTCCAGTTATTCCCATTGACCTCATTTTGTGAGCTATCACCCCATGGTCACATTTGTCGAACGCCTTTGCAAAGTCTGTGTATACAACATCTGCATTTTGCTTTTCTTCTAGGGCTTCTGTGATTTTGTCATAGTGGTTGAGTAACTGTCACAGACAGGATCTTCCCGCTCTAAATCCATGTTGTCCTGGATTGTGCAAGTCATTGTTTTCCATAAAACTAGAAATTTGATTCCTAATCACTCTTTCAAACACTTTTATTATGTGTGATGTTAGTGCAACTGGCCTATAATTTTTTGCCAAGGCTTTACTCCCCCTTGTGCAACGGAGCTATATCTGCAGATTTAAGTGCTGCTGGTATCTCCCCT